ATAACAGATCGGAGAGGGAGCGCGGGGGCCCATTCATTTTCCTCCCTTCTGCACCCGTACGCGGCTGTAAATAGCTTGTTTTTATGTGTAAATAACATATTAAAACTCGGCATTAGCCATGTCCTTTGATAGAGAGGAAATTGTTCTAAATAAATAACGCGGGACGGGAATATAAAGCAGGGCGGGCTGTTATGGAGCCGAGGCTCAGAGGTGGGCATGACTTAGGTGACAGGAATGCTGCAGACAGCAGTAAAGCATACGCTGCCAATAAAAGACGCCGAACAGCAGCCGTATATCCTCCACTTTTCCCAGCTTTGTTTGGAAATACGCTCTCAGGTTCAAGGACCTCGGCTCATCTGCCTCCCTCTCATGCTGCATATTGACTTATCAGGAGCTGGCAACAGGAATAATAATGCATATTACCACGATAAGTAATTGCTCTGTCCCGACGCAGTGGCAGACGGTTGTGGTTTTTAGCACCGAGGCTGGATATCTGATTGGTGGAGACGGGCAGCGGGCTGGAGAATCGAAGCTTCTTGTTTATTTAAGATTAAAACACGAGGCTGATAGGGAGGAAGAGTTATGGAGAGACGTTTCATTTTAGGTAGGAAGAAGATTAAAAATGGCTACATATAAATATACAACAGTGCAGGCTTATTAAAGTTCAGCTAAAGCTGTGTTGAGGGTCAGAGGAGTTCATGCAAAGCGGGCTTATTCTGGATGAAAAATGGAGCTTCTCTTTCATTTTTCTGCAGCAAACTGCAGCTGTACCAGTAATCTTTCTCGAAGACTCAAAGTCGATTTTCTCTATTTAAGACTTTAATCTGACAGATCTTTGAACAAAAAATAATAATAATCAAAAGACATTTTAGAGCAGGGATGTCAAATACCCACTGGGCCAAATACAATCTGGCCCAGTGGGTGGCTCTAAAAAATTAAAAATGCAAAGAAATAGGACATAAATTTGGCTTTTCTCATTAACAATGAAGTATCTTGAGTTTTACAGCTTTCTTAAGACCCCATTGCTTTGAGCACCAGTGTTGATGTCATCACACAGCCACACCCATTTATACTTGCAGTTACCATTCTGTTGTACATTTACAATGACAATAATGAGCAAGTCTACTCGATTCTATTCTATTCTATTCTATTCTATTCTATTCTATTCTATTCTATTCTATTCTATTCTATTCTTATGGTGCTTTTGTGGCAACAGCAAAATGCTGGAGGTGACTAAAATCAAATTGGAGCTTGTACCAGTAGATGTGATGTCGTTTTTGTTGTAAATGTCAACAAAATAATAATGACCTCAGTCACACAGGCCTAGAGATCAATTCGCAACTATCTGGCAACCACTGGTCATGAGGGAAAAATGTTTTTTTCCTGAATTGGTTGGTGACAGGTTGCTAGCAGTCACATACTGAAATTGATTCCAAAGAGGGATACTGTGCGGCACTATTTGCTTCTGTCGGTAGTAGATTGCTACGGTTGCTATAGTTTGCACAGAAGATGTCAACTTGTCTAGAAACACTTGCCAACTGGTCTCTGAGTTGTAATGAAACTGAAAAGTGGAACACAAAATGTTCCACTTGTTAGGTTTGCAAACTACAGGCTGGCACAGCATCCGCGCTAGCAATTGTAAAGAGGTTTCTGGTGCCGCAACTATTCACCTTTCCTCTTACGACTGATGGTTGACGCCAACCGCTTGAAGTGGTGATTTGTGTGGTTGGTAAAAGCTCCTAGTTGTTGTTTTTTTCACTTTAGATGAATCGCCATGTATCAGAAATGTCCTGTTTTTATACTCACAGTCCACAGTTAAAATCTGGACATATTGGAATTATAGATTATCATTGTAGTTTTATTTATGGGATAATGAACTGCTAACTAAGCTAGGTACTGTTAGCTGGGAACTCGCTGAGAACTGCAGTCTTTCATCAAATATGCTTAAAAAAAGCAGTAATGTCACAGTGGCTATGTTCATGTTTTTACTTTCAGTTTCTGGGTCTGACATGCAGTACGATCCCCAGTCTCCTGGGTGAAAGTCCGAGAGTACGTTTCCTTAAGTGCCCAGATGCCTACCCTACATGTTGAAAGAATAGGCTAAGGGTATACCCAGTGTGTAAAAATGTGTGTCCAAGTGTTGGCCATAAGAAGAAAGCGTGTGGTTTTATTAAAATATTAAAGAAGTCCACGTCCAGAAATGGAGCGCCATTCACTTGAACCCAACATGTAGTCTCATATGAACAATTAAAGCTGTATTTCTTCATCATTGTGGCAGGCCACCAAGTTCTCCATTAATAAAGAGAAGAAATGTCACCAAATCACTGGCTGTATTTACATTTCAAACGCGGCCCACTCTGCATCCACGTCAGAGCTGCTCCACCAGGCCTTTTTTTTCATCCCTTTTATACACTGGCGGTAAGAACAAGGTCTTTTAACCTCATTATCGAGAGCTTTCATCACACGTTCACTGACATCTTTAAAACATGTATCTCTTTCTGCCTCTCATGTCACTTCACGAGACATTCATCATGAAAATACCTCAGCAGGTGGTTCATGTAGTTTAAATGTGGCTCAGCTGAAGTTACTCACACAATTTCATCTTCTTCTTTTCCTTATTTTCTGTCATTAATACAACGTTGGATTAAACATCACTGAAGCTTCAGAAAAGCAGATACATGTATCTAAAATAACCATTGTTATTTTTACTTCTGTAGTCAGCCAGTCAGAAGAAAGCAGGTTTTTAGGGAGTTGGACCCTAAAGATTCATGAGATAAAATGGCTTGTCTTATAAGATGAAGTTGAACGCCAGTATAAGCTGATTCAGTTAATAACTGCCTCTGCTGCTGTTGGAGGTTGGAAACTGTACTACTGTCGGTCGAAGACAGAGGAAGAGGAGAGGGGAGAGGCATGTTAGGAGATAGTGAGAGAGAAGGAAAGGCAGGAGTGTGGAGGTGAGAGTAGAGACCCCCCAATTCGAAAAGCCAAAAGATGATTTACAATTTCATATCTAAACCTGTGGTTATACTAACTCATTCAATCTGTTTTATACAGTCTGGGTAAAATGGCTCACGTTTCTATGGCCAGTGAAACCAAGATTTGAGGTAATAATTGAACGTCTCTGCAAAGTTACTTTAAGCTCTAAAAGAAAGTTAGCAAAGTGGAACTGTAACAAGGCTGAATAATTTTATATAAATATAATTACAATGAAAATATTGATTGATCTTATGCATTAATGGGAACCCCCCCCAGAAAAAAACCCCCAATCTGGCTAGTAAAAATGTCCAGCTATCACCTCATCCTAACTCACTCATCTTTGCTCATATCCAGTCTTCCTGCAGAGACCTGTACACATTAATACAGACTGAGCATAGACTGTGGTTTATGAGTTATTAGCAGATCCACATTATATTATATGACAAAAGTGAAGTGCAGTGATTCTGCTTTCATCCAACAGGATGTGACTGCAAACAGAAGTCTCATTATTAGACGTCTATAGGAACGTGAGCCTACTTCTCACATTAATTATGAGCTCTGTAAATATTTTCCGGATGTCACTCAGGACCTAATAGTCACTCAGACAGGAGCAACTCGAGGTTCAGTATTTTGCCCAAAGATACTTTAACACGCACAGAGAAGTTGGGGATCGAACCACCATCCTTCAAAATACGATTACCGGACAACCTCCTCTACCTCTTGACCCCATCCAGTTTTAGGTTGTGTTGTGTTAAAATATAAGACGTACGAAATAAGTAATACAATACAAACACAACAATGAACTTACTGTTGAGTTTCCTGATAGAAAAAACTTGCACAAAAGGTTTTGTGCTTAGTTCTAGTTTGTAGTTTAACCCGCATTCACTGCAATAAGGTTGGCGTGACCAAGGCTTTCAGTTTGACCTCGGATTTGTGGTTTAAACTGGTTTAACTAATCATTATTATTAATTTCATCAAATTATTCCTGATAATCACATGAGTACAAATAAAGCCCATTTTCTGAATGGGCTTTATCAAGTCCATATAGTTGCAAAAACACTGTAAAAGGTAAGGCACAGGCAGGTTAAACACTTAATTCATTGAATTATTAAAGATTAACTGTTGGAAAATGATAGGAAACCAACTCCATTTCCTCTACGTCTCTATTCAAACAACACACTGAGTTATAATATCCAATAAAACTTGACAAAATACAAGTTGTACTAACTAGAAAATCCTTTGTGATTTGGCGAGGTGCTGACTTTTGGGCCGCGTTGCCAGCTTTGTCGCCTCTTTACCAGTTAATGAGTGTTTCTTTATAATGGCAGGCCACCAAGTCCTTCATGAATGAGTAAAAATGTCACTAAATCACACGTTTAATTTGCATTTCAAAGCCAGCCCATCGGCTTGCATCTTTGTCGATCTCTGAAGCTCCGTGTCGTCAGCTCCACATTTTTTTTTTGCCTTTATACTCTGGAGGTAAGAACAAGGTCTTTGAGCCTCATTATGCCAAGCTTTCATCACACGTTCGCTGACATCTTTAAAACATGGGTTCTCTCTTTCTGTCTGTCCCTCCCTTGTGAGACAGCATCGGTGCTACTCTTCATTTAGTTCAACAACACAAACATTCACCTGCCCCAACACCCCCTCCCCACCACCACCACCTCTCTTGTTATCCACTCATCAGCGTTTACAAATGGTGCCACACTCCTTGACTGTAGACACTGGGCCTTGATGCCCATTAATGATGCTCATCTGAGCATTGTCTACTTAGGATTCCTATCAGACATCTACTGTAAGTCACCTCTGACTGCTGCTAGTATCTAAGGAGAGCCACGAGCATCAGCTCCCTAGTTGGTGCCTTGTCTTTGAAATGTATATTTCATCACTTGGTTTGCTCCCCTCTTTGCCCCCTGGCTGAACACTTGGGAGACCTCGGTTCACAGCGTGGCGAGGCCTGATGCTGGGCTCCAAACTCAAATTCAGTCACTGGTTTAAGGAGAAAGTTTTAAGAATTGCCTTACCTCTGGTCTCTGAGGGTGAGGGTTTCTTTGGGAGGTCGGTGAATCCGCTACCGTCCATTTTGTCTTTTTTATCTGTGGCTCTCTGTGGTGAAGTCTCCATGGTCGAGAGCTGCAAAAGCAAGAGGAGACAAAAAGAGGTGTTAGAGCCGACCAAGTTGAGCACACTCGAAAGAAAGTGTTCATTTAGGCCAGGAAAAGGACACTCCACAAACACTCTGGAAGCACTTAAGAGTACTTAGAGGTTCCTGAAAAATACCCAAAGAGAGCCTTTTTAGGCCAAGACCTCAAAATGGAACAGCAGCTATATTAAATAAATATTTTAAAGTAGTTTTAATACATGTCTAACAAGTTAACCTCTTTACATCGACCAACATAACCAAGTTCTGTTATGGTTCTGTTAATATCAACCTCTTTTTTTTATGAAGTTTCCTCCTCCAAGCAGAAATTTCACTTTAAAATCAGCATAAATCGACATATAAGATATTATTTGAAAGATAACCCATTCAAAAAACTCTGGACTCTTAATTTCTGAAGATGTTTTTTCAGCACCTTAAAGCTTTGCCAGCATTTTGGTTGGACAGTACATTTATAATTATATGGAAAAAATTACTCTGAGGGGGGTAAATGCACAAACGCACTGTGCAGCCAACACACTGTAACTTATGGACCTCCGTCGATGACCCTGACAGGGCTGTACGCCGAAATGCATCAGTCAAACAATACAGTTCTTTGACTTCTGACTCTTCACTGAGTCTCTTAACCCGTAGTTGGAATTAAACTGTGTTGGACTGCAAGAAGTGATCGTAATACACAAATCAAAGCTCACTATATCATCTATAGTTTCGTGAATTTGGGGAAATATCATCAAATATTTCCTTGAAGAAGAAAAAGTTGTGAATGATCTGTGAATGAAGGTGCTGCTATAAAATCTGAACATAAACCATCAGCTAGTTCCACTTGGTGCTGTGATTGGCTCAAAGCCAAGCACCATTCGTTAGTCACCCACGAAGGGGTGAGATAATCTCACAGAGCACCAAGCAAACATGTCAGAGGATTTTACGATGAGCAGCAGCTCACTTCACGAGATTTTTGTCTTTTCGCAAACTCTCGCTATTCACGACTCAATCTGCTCCACTGCCACAAGGAGGGGGGGACTCGGGGGTCACCATGGGGGTCAGTTTGTGGGTTAAAGGGGTCAGAGGATAAGGAGGTGGGGGTCTTAGCTCGCATGTCATCAAAGTTTATTTGACTACTGACCTTTCCACCACTGCTATTCAGAGCTGCTGCGTGGTTTAAAAAGTTGGAACAATACAACTTTATCTTCAAAGTTGAGATGGAGATGAAGAGGACTTTTGATTCAGCTTCTATAGTGTGACTGGGATTTTCCTTTAAGGAGGAAAAAACTAAACATCTGGGAACCTGATTTCCTCCTTCTGTTTCTTTAATAAGCCTGGCAGATCAGATTGGACTGGATCCAAAACCAGTAGAAGTAAATCTGGTGTCAAACAATGGGCACCACTGGCAACAATCCCATGCATTTAAAGATGAAAATATGGATAGAAAGCGATTTACATGACACGAAAGAGGGTCAGTGTAAATTAATTACACAGACATCTGATCATTTAAGTTGTTTATAAATTTAGAAACCTGATAAGAGTTTGCCACATGCCACCTACTCAACAAGAGCCAAAACAGGTAATCAGTTAGTACTATGCTGGTATATCGTTCTAAAAAAACATTTTTGGTCTTTTAATATAAAACAAAGCAATATAAGTTAAATAACTTCATTTTCAAATTACTTTATCAGATGATGTTATGCACTAAACGTCGCTAGACTGGTGAGGCTAACTGACAGTTAGCTGGCTAAATGGTATAGCTTTTTAATATTAGTATATTTGCTTATTTTATTAGCAAAATTGTATCACAGTAGAAATGCTAGTTCAGGACTAGCTTGCATCAAAACCACAACAAATCTTTGGATTAATTCAGTTTTTTTTTTAAATGAGTCTACATATCAAGAATTGACTGAAAGTTGTGTAAAGAAACCAATGAAAAATTCTCTCAGCTTAATTATTCAGGTTCATAATGTTTTTCTGACAACTTAAAATTGCTGATTTTTTTCAGTGCTAAAATGCACTGCTAATAAATAAAAATGGTAATAAGATTAACTTTATCATTAAATGTATATACTGTAAGTTGTTTTAAGTCTTTTGCTTGTAAGCTTTTTACATTGCAGTATTGCAGTATTGCAGTATTGCATTGTAGTTCTGTTACTGTTTTGGAGCAACTGTAACCCACATAATTTCTTGAGGGATTAATAAAGTATTCTGATTCTGATTATTTCCACTAAAGTACATTTTCTGAAAACCCTAATGTTTTTACATGATAAACTGACATATGCAGATTTGGTCCCTAATAGAGTCTTTGGTCCTGCCCCATGTATAATATCTTCTGTATCTTTTTAATGATTTAGCGGCAGTTTCAGAAGACAGACCTCTGACCTTTTGGCTCCAGCAACAATCTGGCTGCTGTAGGTTGCAGACTTTGATAAACCTTCAGTTCACTGAGTTTGTCAGTGACCAAAAGTCAATTTACTGTCTCTAGTGAAAAAGCAGGGAGTCTGACTGACAGGTGTGCCTGCTGTCTTCAGGATGAATCAGTGTAACAGGTGTGAGAGGACAGCAGTGGAGCCTCATGGGAAGCTCCTCACCACACACAAACCTCTTTTAGTTGAGGTGATAAATGAGGCACGTAATGGCAGCCTTTCACGCCTACAGCCCTCTGATGTGTCCTCGCAAATCATTATTAGTCAAGCTTAACATTTACTGTTCACACATTTAGCTGTGTAGGCCTCTCAGAAAACATTAGTCTTTAAGAGTCACAGTTCTTGGCCTAAAAAGGGGATTAATTACTTGGGAAATTGTTGTAAAGACACAAAGGCAGAAATACCAATTGCTAAACTTACAAATATGACAGTTATTTAATTTTATAATGTAAACTTCTAACATGATTCAGAATTTTCAACAATACATTTAAAAAAAGGAAATAGAAATGCATAAGAGGAACTGACAGCATGGTAGTTGTAGGCTGCGCCAACCTGAGGTGTAGTTACACTTTCAGGGGCGTGCATGTCGGGTTAATCTAGATCTATGTAACACTGTAGGGTTTCAGGAGGGCTAACAATGTCCGTACAGTATAGATTCAACACATTAGTCTGTCAGTCACCAGCTAACACCACCTAACTTGATTGGTAAAACAAATATACCTGCTAATTAATTGTGAGCATCAGACTAATAACTTATTCAAATTTCACTTAATAAAACCTGAACTGAACTTTTTTCCCTGCGCAGTTCCAAAGATACAATTAGTTCGTTTCATAGTGACACAAGTTGCAAAAGTGACCATATTAGGAAAAAAGGGACATTATCAGCTAATGCTTGCTAGCTTTGTTAGCTAATTGGTGTTGAATGACAGATTAATAAAATACCAAAATTTCACTCACTAAACTTTAACCAAAATCCTTTTTTTCCATTCAATTTTTATATCAGGTCTATCTCTTGCTAGCTTAGTAGCATCTGTAAATGCAAAAGTGGCCATATTTGGATGACATGATGGAGTCATCAGGTGATGCCGGCTATTTATTGGCTAAGAAGTGCTGAAGAACTGCCAAAGCACTAATTTTCTTGATAAAAGATGGGCTTGCACCCTACCATTTTTTCTCTTTAGCTCTAAAGACATTCGATCAACTTGACTTGCTTTACTAGCTAATAACTTATAGCTAGTAAAGTTAGCTAATAACGTTATCTAGCACGATTTCTGTTGTGTAGCTGGAGGTCACATATGTTTGTTTTTTTAATTCCTCAAAAAGTCTACAAAGTAAACTATGGTGAAAATTAAATGGCGAGCATGGCAGTGAGCAAAAGCATCAGTGAATTTACTCGTGGGAGTATCTAACAACCACGTTAGCAAGTCAACAGTTCAGTCAGTGAGGTAATTAAGCGTGGCCTCCCACTGTTGTCTGTCGGTCTTTTCAAAAACCTCACAATGATTCATTTGAGTGGAAAAGCTCAGAAAGAGAGCCCTGCAATGGGGTTATTTAACGGAACAACAGCTTCAGAGCGTCCCTCCCCCGATTTCTGCAGAGTCATTGTGAGGAAATCAGCGGCTGTTTATCCTGCCAAGTCATCCTTTTCCCGTCACTTTAAATCACAAACACAGCAGTTTGTTTAACTAACACATCTGACTTTAATTTTTATGGCTTTCCTGGTCGCAAACGTACAGTTTTTAACTGTGCAATCATGCACAGTCTGCACAACCTGTGTTTTTTTTTCTTTCTGTGCTTGCCTCCGCTCTGAAATTTCAAAGCAAGTCACCTGAGAGAAACACCTTTGCCACTGTGTAAATTAACTAACAGCCGCTGACACACAGGATATATCTTCCTCCTGTGGAGGGCCACGACTTCTAGAAATCAAAGGGCCTGCGGTGGAAGGGTATTCCCTGCGTCCGGGAAACAAATGCCTCTCCTTTCTAGGTGTACTCGAGTACAGTTTGGCTCATCAGCCGGCGTCTGCCTGAATTATTAGAGCAGCTCTTGTCAGGCAAACAAATGACTCTGTCTCGACTCAAAAGGTCACAGCGCAGTGGAGTAAAATCACAGAGCACGCAGTCAATTCCTCGGAGCGGTACCCCCTTTTCCAAGGGCCACTTGCTGGAATTTATGGCTGGGGCCTACACCTATTCTCCCTTGAATAATAGCTATCCCGTAAAAGAAGCCGGGGTCGGTGGCAAGTCTAAAATAAAATAAATAGAAGGGGTGGTTGTTTACTGTGTGAAAGCACAAACAGAGGCTAACGGTGACATGTGGATTTATACCGAGGAAACGTCCCCCGCGAGGCCCCCATTTGTCCCTCAGCTGATGGTAAACAGACTCGGACCATCAGCCAGGCTGGATGTTTCTCCGTGAGATTCCCCTCAGAGGAGGATGTTCAATATCCTGTGGCTGATCTCCTCCTGCCCTCGCCAACAGCAAACAGATGTGGCGGCCGAGTTCAGAGGAGAAAGCAGCATGGCGGGATGAATGGATGCCTCCCACCTGAGTGCCATGGCATG